CTTCATTTTGTAGAACATGTTGTAATTTGCATAAACAGAGGTTGTCTCCCTTCGTATAATCAATTCACTCTCTTGTGTGCGGTACTTAAAAGTTATTCGGACTGCACCACTGTGACACATGCCTCCTTGAAATGGACAATAGCTGGCTGAAGTGTTTGTAGCTCGCTCGTCCTGGACATGTTGAGCCCACGTGTAAGAGTAATGCGTTACTACAAGGGGGTAACTGTGCTAATACTAAGCGTTGAGTTAAATCCTTATTACATACCACCATTGGTAGGATTTCTATATTTGACACGTATTTAGATAGATAAATACTTATCTGTATATTTTATAAACGTGTGATTAAGACGATTATTATCAGGTGATAATAGTGCGTGTTTATGAGACAATAGAAAGTAGAGGTAATAAAGACGGTTTGTATGTAGATGGAGATAGGCGGATCGAGTTGGTCAGATTTGATCAACCGTTCAATGTTTACCCAGTACGACAACAGCAGGCCTATTCCACGCCACTGATATACCAATAAGATCCAAAAGATATACTTGGCAGTTTCAAAAAAAAATCCTCTTATGAATTTTGATAGGTAGACTTCGGATGCGTATCAGTATGTTAGGAGCAGCGATGCAGAAACATATGTTTGTAAACAATGGCGAAAAATCAAGGTGTTTGAAGACCAACCAGGTCTACTATGACAAGTGGGGCTCGACGGATCCTCCAATTATTCGGAGTTAATCACATGACAGCAATCTATCTGCCTCGATGGACAATAGTTATCCATACCAACCTTACACGTCAAGGTCACGCGCTCACCTCGCCCTAGACTCGGCCCTTTTGTTGGCAGAATTCTCGCTTAATTTGTCTCCTCTCTCTTGCCACCACTGTAGATTTTCACGTTCCATACCCGGCTTCATCATGCATAAAATGTAGATTTTATAGGTAGGCTGTATCTAGGACCGCGCCTTACAAATGAACGATAGAAAATACACTGTTGTCCGTCGAACAGGCGGGTGTGATGTAGAGAATGGACGTGTGTTACACATTTCTGAATGAATATATATCATTAAGTAAGTATTATGTCTCGTCACTGATAATTCGTGTCAGTTTATAATAAAAGAGGTACACTTCCATTTTTTTCGAATTTTTTCTAATATAATATTTGTTTCTTCTGTATACCCAACGTGAACGAGATATTATGAAGTACGATAGACTTTATGGACCGAGATTTCTAGGTGTGAACACCTTACCTGTGTAGGTGCTGTACCTTACCAATGCTTTTGCAAACTCACAGCCTCCATGCTTATATGTTTAATGGACAAGTACTTGGTGAATGTCTTTCTATTTCAGTCGTGTGTGCAAACTTCAAACGTTTACATTCATCATACTACAATCTGTTACTCGTAAAATGAAAGCGAGGAGGGTTTAAATATCATCATTATTATTATTTCATTTGGGAAGCTGAATGGAATGAAACTTAATGAACTGCGGAAATTGTATAAACAAGCGGTATTATACAAGGTGTCGTCTGTGTTTCAGGATAACTTCATCAGTTTTACTCTCAAGTATCGTGGTTCACAACAGATAAAAGGACGGACTCAAGTCACCGCATTGACGAGAGGTCTTTAAGTGGAGGACAAGTACCTGGAAAGTGAACGGCGATCTTCGCCCTGTCCCGTAAAGTGAGGCTGACAAATCATCTCCGCTTACTCCGCTTCCGACATGGAAAATGACGATAAAACATCCCACACATAATTCATAAATGGGACATCCTCGAAAAGGCAAAACCAGCTAAATAAATTTGTCGTGGATGTCATCCGTAGAGGGATACTGAGTGTATATATATATTCATTCAACGGACATAAAAAAACTTATCTCCATCCCAGAAGTATCTACCAACATATTGGATTTTTCTTTTGTTTGCCAAACTGGTGTTAAGGACGACTTTCGATCATCCCTGCCCGCTCTGTCATGCCTTTGGTCCCTATCTCCAGTCAGTATTATTTCAATTCTTCTTGAGGCTCGTCTGATCAGGTAAAAGTACACAGCAAGCCTTGCCTTATACATCATCTTCACTTGATGGAGTGGCGATACCTATCAGGGTAACTCTCCAGACATGTATAACATTATACGCTTTAAAATTGGGATAGCCTTGAATACAAAACCACGTATAGGGAAATATCAATGATTTTTGCTCTGCGGGCATCTTGTATGGAAATGATTAAAATCCAAAACAGTTTACGTATATTTAATTGAGCGATGGAATGGCAGATAAGACGCTAGTACATTACATCAATTATAGATAGTGGCGTGGTTTGTGTGAATCACTTACATCACCACCAAATTGATTACAACCACTCAAATGATTCCATATACGCAGCGACAACGTGCGATAAAGCTGCCGATACGATAGACATAAAGAAAAAAGGCGTATTGCCAGTCCGAAACTTCGGAATAAATTCGGACATCATCTGGTAATCAGCGCATCTCATTTCTTTCTAAACTGATTAAATCTCGTCGAAAAACGTGTGCATTATTAATATATTTAGGTACACGACAGCGACGCTAGTGTGAAATGTTGATTTGTTATCGGCCAGACAACATGTTTAACTAATGCCCGTGTATTTATATCAGTGCGCTGATGTTCATTGATATATTATTTTTGTTAAATAAAGTGTCAACAAGCCCTAAAATATGATTACATCATTTCCTTTATAGGCGGTGGGGGTATTTAGCGAGTTTTTTCATATACGATATTTATATAATTTTGTTTTGTTGGTTGTTTGTGCCGTTGGTGTCTTTGTCACTTTGACCTGTGTTCGGATTTGTTCATCGACCTTGATCTATGCTTCAGTATTTTTGAGACTTTTACTCACAAAGTTGATTGCCTGTGTCGTCCTTGGGTTATGTGTCTGTCTGTTTTACTCTCCGGGATATATTTATAAGATTTTATTTTCACGGGGTTTTGTTCCACTGTTTTGTAGGAGTTTTTATTTTACGACTGCTTTGTTTTGTTTTCTGTAAAATCTGTTTACATTCTACTCTCTTTCAAGAGATAATATCGAGTACTTTTCATCGATCACCCAGTGCCCTTGTTATGATTGTTCGATATTGCAACCTTGTCACTAATTTTTTTGTTGCACTCATGAAAGTTAGTATTTGTTCTTTTGTTCCTGTGGGAAGTATTCTGGATTTAATTGTCACATGGTTACAATACCCACGACACTATATGTTTGTTATTTTGTTCATGTTTCAAATGTGCGAGCTTTTGATGGTTGTAACACTTCCTCCGTTGCTTATATCACCAAAGTTGCTGTGAGTGATTTTATTTAGTTATTTTCCTCAGGTTACTGCGCGTGATGTTTGTTTGTTATGTCACTAAAGTTGTTATGCGTGACCTCATTAGTTATGTTGTCCAAGATACTGTGAGTGAGTATGTTGGTTATTTCTCCTAGGTTACGATGTGTACTCTGTTGGTTATATCATCCAAGTTACTATTTGTACTTTTTCTTGTCGAGTTACTGACAAATCTTGCGTCCGTTTGATCGTTAATATTTCTGCACATCACATAATTCCGTGTCAGTGTTGTTGTTGTTGTTGTTGTTGTTGTTGTTGTTGTTGTTGTTGTTGTTGTTGTTGTTGTTGTTGTTGTTGTTGTTGTTGTTACCCTTGACTAGTTATTTGTGTTTACTCTTTATACTGTTAGCTCTTGTATTCAATATGACTTGCGTGGTTTACTTTCGGTGAAATGTGGTTGAAATTACAGGTGCACTTGGAGTCCTTTCTGTAGGATAAATGTTCATGTAGGCGAATTTATCTGGGCAGTTAATGTTCTCTGCTTATATTGTCAGTAGTGTATCCACTTTCACGCCACCATAGTATGACCGAATTTTTAAACATATTTCTCTCAGTGGTGTATTAATTAATACGTTTAACAAGATGACTTCCTGCCATCAGCAGTAATGCAGAACAATATTACTCACTAAAGATAGTCAGTTATGTCGTACTGTCAAACTTATCGGCTTATACAGTATAGTTATTTTATCAAACGGTTGACTCAATGCCCACTCCAACTTTGTGAGAACTGTAGGTCCATACAGTATTCTATGTATACCCAGGAACGTAACTTTGTCCTGGAATTTCGAGGAAAAATCGTTGATTGGTCTTACTTCGTTGCGAAAAAAAACATGGAGACGTATTTTTTCAGTATTTTTGTATTATATTTTATGTTTTGTAGAAATTTTACAATAATTTAAATAGTCATAACAAATACCACTTTCATAGCAATAACATAGCTCTCACCCAAACAGACGCATACATACAATAACAGTCTACCACACGCCGCGCACCAGCATATCTTACACCTGCTGTTGGTGCGAGCCCGAAAGTCTCTACTCACTATGGCAAATATCAACTACAATGGTTCGTAAAGCCCTTTGTATCGTCTCGTCAGTATTCAGTTTTCCCATAAGCTTCCTAAAATGACTGTAGCTGTAAACTGAAAAGTTTTGGAAAAACATGTTGCCTTTCCACGTTGGATTGTGTTTGTGTCCTTAGTGCGTGCTCAGTTTATACCCGATGACCAACTCACTCGGACGTACACACAAGACGGACACCTGCGTCCGTTACTGAACACATAAATATACCTTGGTACTGCTTGCACGATATGCCTGTGGATTTCTGGGAGGCATTCCCTCCCTAGCACACTTGTCATGCTTCATGTTTGAATGTCCGCCGCCACGGAACTTACAGGGAATGTCGACAAAACTGGCAGTACACTTGTCCATTAACAACCATAAATGCAGTAATATAATATTCATAATTAATAATATATCAAAACACGTAAGCACGGGTCTGTGTCTGAAGAACATTGCACACATCCTTATCACGACACCGCCCGTGCACAAGTCATATCTTGACGGGCGGCATATATGTACTGGCTACATAACGTCGTCCCCTCCCCCCGCCCCGGTCCCCGCTGGATTTCATAACATACGTAATAAATATAAAGACTCTGGCTAGTACACACAGGCCAAAGAGTCAGTCAGGCCTGTCCTTTATAGCAACAGATGGAATGAATACTCCTCCTGGAAAACTTTCTCTGTTAAAATTAATCCATTGGGTTGCGGCACCATTGTATCACAGTTGGCGCATACGCACGAACACGTCAATGTCACGGTAAATCCCTAGTCTATAACCATCACACATCTCGTGGCCGTCTCCGTCGATTTTTTCTTTTTCGTTTGTTCTTTGGATTGCCACACTCACACCAGACGTTGACATGAAGTTTCTCGAACACCCAAACTTCCTCATACGTGGTATTGAGCCCCACCGTGGGGACCGGATTACACCGGTTAGGGTCCATTTTAAACAAGTTGATTGTGTATCCCTGCTCAACGCACTCGTTTAACTTATAATAACACAATTTTGTTAAACACTCCACGGAATTATAATACTTGGGAAAATACCCTGGTTTAGTTTTATTCCATTTCTTCTTCATCTTACATTTCCATGACAAGTGTTCTTTTCGCTTAAGTTTTTGCTTTCGTCTTCTTCCATTGCGAGCGCCGGCTCTCTTATGTCTTACATTTAATTGCATTAATCTTTGGTAAAATGTCACATCATCATCGAAATCGTCTTCCTCCTCGTCATCTTCGACTATAGCTTGTCGTTTTTTCCGTCTCATGAATTTTCTAGAATCTAGATACGCAGAGTCCTGCGTTCGAACCGTTCTGTCTTGTGAGTTTCTGTAACCATCATCACTTAGCATTGTATTCGAAATCGAATCTATATTCGAATCGAAATCATCTACCGTATCACTGAATTCATCATCTTCATCATCGTTTTCGTAATCATCGTCGTCCTCTATAGAACGTTCTCTTAACGTGCTCCTTTTCACATCTTCCTCGTCCATTGCCATCATCGAATCGTCGTAGTGTTTTCCCATACGGTAGCGAAGGTGCTCGGGGTCCACTTGACGACAGCGGGGCACGGAAATTTCCGTGATGTTATTTAGTTTAGTTGGCGGCGGACGTTTTCTAGGGTAGGCCAACGCTGGGCTAGTCAACATCACAATACAAAGCACGAGGAACAGAAACTCACTGGTTCTCTTTGCCTGAAAAAACAAACAGGAGAGTTGACATTTAGTCATAATGCAACACTGAGAAATAAAGCAATTCATCAACCAGAAAATTATATATTGTTCCGAACATCTCTGATACAGGCGTCATTCTTCGTATCCAAAAGGGTGGGCTTCGTATACCGAAACAATAATATATCAACATGGACACACCTATTTGTTTTAACTTAGCACAATCTCATATCAATGTGTAGTCTTACTGTTCAGCTGTGATGCGATGGTTATTAAGCTAATTGAACCTGCACAAAACACGAGCCATCTCTGACTTTAATATTAGTTTGTTTCTTGACACCAAGAAACAAATACTGTGTCTTCCTACTATTATATATTTCCGAAGTGATAGATATTAGAACAAAAATACGTAACAAGGAGAAAGCGAATGCTACTAAACATGCCATGTCCACCATGCTGTTGACACAGTGGAAAATAAGGAATATTTGATAAAGTTATTATTTATTCACTGTGATCTGCACTCTAGTAATGAACAATATAAACTGCTGTGGGTAATTCGGCGCTTTGTTGTTGTCATAACGACCTATTATCAGGCTACTTGGCGAATAGGCATTCCTAGTTGTTTATCCTTCATATACATTACTTCCTACACCGAATGTACAATTTACGTGTTTTAACGAACACTTTTTATCGGAAGGGGAAAATAGCACGATACGATGAGCAAACAAATAAAAGAAAAAAAATGGATTTTTTTATAAATCTAATTTCATTCTGACATAGTTTCATACCGTGGCTACTATTCATCATTACAAGTAAGATTTTGCCTTGGAAATTACTTCCATGGTTTAAAGCAGACAGGTTTCCCTTTATATCCAGTTTTAAAATCATTCCTTACATAACGCAAAATATTTTACGTTTTTTCTCGTATTATTTAATTGAAATGAAAAAAACTCTGCAGTTATCGATAAACAATACCGCATTTGATAGAGAAATACTCTATGTCTGGTGTCAATTTCATAGTGTGCGATTTGAAAACTAGACCGTTTGTGGTGTAAGTGTATGTGCATATATTGACTTTAGGCAAGGCGTTCGCTCCAATGTATCTTACAAGGATGTGTTACTGATAATAGAGTGAAATAAGTTTCTACAAACAAATATCTATTTCGGTGACCAAATACCATTTTGATGATAAAATCTTATAATCAAAACAAAGTATTCCTATTTCTGTTTTAAAGTAAATCGTAAAAGGGGCATCTGAAGATAGACATGCACATATTTCTTGTGACAAAGAACAATGTAGTACTCATTTGTTTCAGTGAACTGAACAATCCCCATACCGTCTGTTACAAATATCTACTACCATTTACTAAAAGTATGGTAGATGTATTATGTAACATTTTTCTGTGTTACTATCCACACGTATAACTGATGTATGACAGTTCTATGTTACTATCCACACGTATAACTGATGTATGACAGTTCTATGTTACTATCCACACGTAAAACTGATGTATGGCAGTTCAATGTTACTAACCACGCGTATAACTGATGTATGACAGTTCTATGTTACTATCCACACGTATAACTGATGTATGGCAGTTCTATGTTACTATCCACACGTAAAACTGATGTATGGCAGTTCAATGTTACTAACCACGCGTATAACTGATGTATGACAGATCAATGTTACTAACCACACGTAAAACTGATGTATGACAGTTCTATGTTACTAACCACACGTATAACTGATGTATGACAGTTCAATGTTACGAACCACACGTATAACTGATGTATGACAGTTCTATGTTACTATCCACACGTATAACTGATGTATGGCAGTTCTATGTTACTATCCACACGTAAAACTGATGTATGGCAGTTCAATGTTACTAACCACGCGTATAACTGATGTATGACAGATCAATGTTACTAACCACACGTAAAACTGATGTATGACAGTTCTATGTTACTAACTACACGTATAACCAATGTATGACAGTTATGAAATCACAACATTCATCTGACTGTTATGAAATTAAACTCTCCACCTTGTATATCACGAGCGACAACAAATATTCGCGTATTTCATTTGTAACTCTAAACTTTTTAACAATATACAAAAAATATATCCATGTCGGTTTCCGATAACATTTTCATACTAATCAAGGTAGGCACAGATATAGAATATAGCAGCTGATGAAATTATTTCATTGATTACATCGCATTGACTATTATTTGTATAACAGTGCAAAAATTGTTAAAAGCGCAATAATTTAATGGTGAGTTCTTGAGTATTATCAAAAAGGTTTGACAATGTCTTCATAGATCTTTAACAAGAAAAATAACAAACGGTAACGATATGGGTTTGCCGGTAATCATTACTATATGTAGTCATATAGTGACAGGTGTAAGTTCATATGTACTCTATATACCACTATCAACTTAAAAGATAGTATAGCATCTAGCTACAAACGAGAAAGGGTCTTCATTAGAATACTTAATCTTATTTATCCCCGATTTGATATCAGTGTTGTTTAATAAACATTAATCTGCCTGTAGTATACATAGAAATGATTTGGTACTTAAATGTTACAAAGACGATCTAGGAAATTACTGAGTAAACATTGATCAAAAACAGTTAAAAGAATATAGAAATGGTCGTATATTACCCAAGTCGAGTTAAATGTCCGTGGAATTCCATTTCTGTCCATTCGTCCAGTTACAAATTAACAATGACATTGTCCTACAGCCCACGTGTCCCGTGTACGATGTCTCTAGTATCTAACGGTGATTACCAGCGACTTGTCTATTTGTAGCCCACAATATTTTTGTGGTCTGAGTTATGAAGTAGTTTTAATACGCCCCCCTAATCTGTCGTAACGGTGTGTAATATAAAAATAAGTATGCGTCATCCTGTTAAAGGTTTCCCCAACATACTTGAAATTCTCGGTTAAAGACAAGATGTCAATACAATCCCATATATAGCCTAGAGTGTTTGTAGTGACTCCGCTAAAAAAAGCTTCCGAAAAAAACGTAGGGGAGTTAGAACGACTTTGATAAAGGGTTTTATTTAAATTTGGGTGTTGGCCGTTTCAATTAAAGCGATAGATTTGTAGAGTACTCAACGCTATTGAAAGTATGGAATGTTATTTGCACCGTAATAATTATTCATGAGAATTAAATAGGTTTTAATTTCAAATTTCATCAGCTTTGTAAATATTCAATCAACAGCGACCTGTATTTTATACAGTCATGTCGGTTGACCTTTTCACAAAACCTGACTAGTTACGTATCAATAGCCAATGAATCAGAGGTAACTGTTCATAGGCCTTCAAACAGCTGTAATTACACACAGAATGACAAGTAGAGTTTGCGTGAAAAATCCCAGTGTTTGTAGAATAATTCAAACGTATCAGAAACACAAGCATCATTATTGTGGGTTTGTTCTACCGGGGTTAGAGTTTGAATCATACCGTCTGGTGTGTCAACTAAACCCTATCAGTTTACCTGACGTCTAGATGCTTAAGATTCAACTGGGACTAAAAAAACAAAATGTATAGGGATCAAATGTTAAATATCAACTGACATACAATCATCTAATGTACACTGCAGTGCACCTTACAGGATATTCACACCCAAGGAGAATACAACCCAAAACACCCGTCACCATACCAATTAACACAGCGATATATACCGTAATATTAACACAATTGTCAGTAAACCAAACAACAGAGCTATAGACACTACAATTCACAACTCTCTATACCCAACATATTGGTATACACCACACTTCCCAACACAATATCAGTATTGTTGAGTACAGAGCATCGATGCTGTAAGAATGCAAACAGGTGGAATACGAAGAAAAAAATTGGGAGAAGAATGTGTCTTCAATGTGCCTCGCTGTGCAGGAACTTCTCGGCAAAAGACACAATTTATTCAAGAACATTTAAGCAAAGAACACACTTTCTGTCGGGATAGATCACTGCACAAAGAAATACATGTATATAAGGTTACCCCAGCAGAGGACATTAACCAGCACTACATGTAGGGATCTCTCGTCAAAGGACACGACATCTACACAACTATAAAACTGTCCTCCACCTGGCAGTATAATGGGCGGCAGGCTACACTTCTGCATTCGGGCATTCATTTAGTGTTAATCAATGAACAAAAATAAACGATATCATAAATAATAACATTAAAATGGTCTAAATATTTGTGTATTTATCAATAACCTTTAGGCTATCACCTAGAAGTGGCTCATTAAACAAATGTGGGCCATATAAACCAGTCTGTATTGCGAGTGTTCCTAGAACATATAACCTGCATATAACGTGGGTGTTCTTGGAACATATAACCTGCACATATCGTGGGTGTTCCTAGAACATATAACCTGTCTATATCGGGAGTGTTCCTAGAACATATAACCAGTCTAAATCGTGAGTGTTCCTATAACATATAACCTGTCTATAACGGGAGTGTTCCTGGAACATATAACCTGTCTATATCATAAGTGTTCCTAGAGCATATAACCTGTCTAAATTATGAGTGTTCCTAGAACATATCACCAGTCTAAATCGTGAATGATGCATGTAAACTACATTATCAGGAAGAACGAAGCTGTGAGAAAAAAATGTTCAAAATTTTTCACACGGTGCAATGAAGTTATTAAGTATTGAACTTTTCGTTGTCTTAGAGTCATTATTTTTCCCATACCATCAGTGTATCAGTTTATATCCCCATACCATCAGTGTATCAGTCTATATTCCCATACCATCAGTGTATCAGTTTATATTCCCATACCATCAGTGTATCAGTCTATATTCCCATACCATCAGTGTATCAGTTTATATTCCCATATCATCAGTGTATCAGTTTATATTCCCATACCATCAGTGTATCAGTCTATATTCCCATACCATCAGTGTATCAGTTTATATTCCCATACCATCAGTGTATCAGTCTATATTCCCATACCATCAGTGTATCAGTTTATATTCCCATATCATCAGTGTATCAGTTTATATTCCCATACCGTCAGTGTATCAGTTTATATTCCCATACCGTCAGTGTATCAGTCTATATTCCCATACCGTCAGTGTATCAGTCTATATTCCCATACCGTCAGTGTATCAGTCTATATATCAGTCTATATTCTTATACCGTCAGTGTATCAGTCTATATTCTCATATCGTCAGTGTATCAGTCTATATATCAGTCTATATTCCCATACCGTCAGTGTATCAGTCTATATTCTTATACCGTCAGTGTATCAGTCTATATTCCCATACCGTCAGTGTATCAGTCTATATTCCCATACCATCAGTGTATCAGTCTATATATCAGTCTATATTCCCATACCGTCAGTGTATCAGTCTATATATCAGTCTATATTCCCATACCGTCAGTGTATCAGTCTATATATCAGTTTATATTCCCATACCGTCAGTGTATCAGTCTATATATCAGTTTATATTCCCATACCGTCAGTGTATCAGTCTATATATCAGTTTATATTCCCATACCGTCAGTGTATCAGTCTATATTACCATACCGTCAGTGTATCAGTCTATATTCCCATACTGTCAGTGTATCAGTCTATATATCAGTCTATATTCCCATACCGTCAGTGTATCAGTCTATATATCAGTTTATATTCCCATACCGTCAGTGTATCAGTCTATATTCCCATACCGTCAGTGTATCAGTCTATATATCAGTCTATATTCCCATACCGTCAGTGTATCAGTCTATATATCAGTTTATATTCCCATACCGTCAGTGTATCAGTCTATATTCCCATACTGTCAGTGTATCAGTCTATATATCAGTCTATATTCCCATACCGTCAGTGTATCAGTCTATATTCCCATACCGTCAGTGTATCAGTCTATATTCCCATACTGTCAGTGTATCAGTCTATATATCAGTCTATATTCCCATACCGTCAGTGTATCAGTCTATATATCAGTCTATATTCCCATACCGTCAGTGTATCAGTCTATATATCAGTTTATATTCCCATACTGTCAGTGTATCAGTCTATATTCCCATACCGTCAGTGTATCAGTCTATATACCAGTCTATATTCCCATACCGTCAGTGTATCAGTCTATATTCCCATACCGTCAGTGTATCAGTCTATATATCAGTCTATATTCCCATACCGTCAGCGTATGAGTTTAATTGATGACGTACCTACAATATTGATCAAATAAAATCGTAAGAAATCAGATGATTTATAATATCTTCCGAATATCAGTAACACAAAAACAACAAATCCTCTGAAATATGTTAATAACACTAAAAGATGTAATGATAACTTATAATATATACAGACACAGATAGAATGTATTCTCTCAAATCTCATAATCATAATAGGGGGTTGATTCCTACAAATTCCATTGAGTATACCTACAATCACATCATATTTAGTATAGCCAAAACCTTTTTTAACAAATCTAGAAATCTTTTAATCTACATTTTGTATAAAACAACCACGGCGTTAGGTCTTTAATACATAGTCATAATCAGGCTACACCCATCATCAGTTTAAATCTAGATATGGTCATTACGGGTTACAAAATATCCCTTCGTTATCACAGAAAATATTTCATTTCATATTCGAACCACAACTCATAATACTCTCCTTACTCAATAAAAAACCTTTTTCAGGAATCGCATATAACAGATTATTAGCCTACCTGTTCAAATCTAATAGTTAAAGATAGGACTAAAACTTCAGATTATAGGCCACAAACTAAGCAATCAACTTCTGGAAGATCATTGAAAGCAGCGACATTTGATGTTACATCTCAAGGTCAGGGCATCGGTTAACACACGATAATCCCTTTGATATATAGACGAAAACATCGAACTCCTCGAAATCTTCTCTATCGTTTTTGGAAAAAATTAGACAACGTGTTACGCAAATTTGTCAAATCAACGTATTCCGGCTTAATTCGAATAATATCTGCAAGACATGTAGAAAAAACATTCGTTTCGAAATTTCTGTTAAGAATGTTCGTAAAACTGAAGTCTGTATGCCGATATGTGATCTAGTTTGACAAAACAATTGCAAAACGAAAATGGTTTCACTTTATCAGTTGACCGTTAAATGTAAAGAACATCTTCAAAAACTGTGCATTATTTTGTTTAAATTTGTTGAAATGTTTCACTGAATTTCCTTTTGTATAACGTCGTCAGAACGCTTGCCTGTAGTCATTTGGACACAGCCACTGCAAATTGTTCACGTTCCTTTTCTCAAATCATTGCCCTTGGTTAATTGGACAAAACTCGAATTAACAATAATCGCGAAATTATTCAATAATTATCGATAAAAATGATAACAGGATACCTAAACTAAAGCCAAGCGATTCCAAATGTATCAAAAAACACAACAATAATGATAAAATATCACACAATGATAGCAGCATCGACATAAGTGTAGAATACAATATAAAATATATACCACGGCGACATAACAATAGCGTCACCGCAGCAACTTCTGGCATAATATTATACACAACATCAGCAAGTGTATACTTCAAATAAAATAGATTAGAATTGTGGACAGCACGGCAAAAAGTTCAATAAAAGATTATCTCAAAATCAGATGGATGGAGACCAGGGTTACCCTAGTCATGTACCTTCCAGAAAAGGACCAGGTGAAGATGGTAATATCCATCCATGTACTTTCCAAAACCAAAGGATGCAAGACAAAGCGTTGAGAGGGACATGTTATCCCTACAGCATTCAAAACAATAAGGACGAAATCTTTTGAAAAGTAAGGTAACTCTCTACCTAAAATGAGCAGTCATAGTGCCTGATATTTCAAGCATAATGCGATTTGACTGTATACAGCTGTACTGGTCAATACATTTACAGACAATGAATAAACCATAAAAAGATGTTCCGATAAACGACCCTAACATTCCCATCAAAATAAGTTGAAAAGAAACTTAGTTGGTTTTTATACCTTATTGTCCCCGTAACCTATGGTGTCGGGGATACATACCTGTGTCACAATCAAAGGAGAAAACATTTCACGACCATTGGAACGGTAACTAGGACTTCTCACAGCTCTGTTTGTTAGCAGTCCAGTCGCAATCATATCAGGTAGCGCAAACGCGCCGGGGTGTAGGCTCACCGGTCTCACCCACGGGACGCTCGGCCATCACCCCGAGGACACAAAATATCCCTTGATCGTATTAAATCCACAAAAAATAATTCCCAGATTTTTGTTTTATCATAGAACAGTATGATTGTTGTAATCCTGGAAATACTTTGAGTCACATTTAAGCGTGTATTTCGCCCCTCCGTTTGGAAGACCGCGGGACAATGCGACTCTCTCTCATTTACACCGATGTTCACTTCGGAAATCCTTAGGTCAGAATAACAACAATAATAATGTAATCCGAACTGAATTACAATATATATATCCCCGGAAATAAAAATCCCATCTCAGAATTAATCCGTCCTGAGTGTCACAGCCCTTAACGTCCGGGAGGTATCCTAGCCTCCACAACACCTACGCACGTCCCGCTGGACAGCCGCAGAATCGATATCATACACGTGCAGTGTATTGGGTCATATCTGGAAAATATCAAACAAAATTTATTTAAAACAAAAACATGATTTACATGGCTGTTTTACCGATTAATTGATTATCAAATCATATATCAATCAGTTTCTATAAGGTTTGATAGTTTGCTGAAACTTTCAGACAGAATGTGCTCACGTGTTGCTCTTGCGTGATCAGTGCTAATTAAGTCTGCAAAAGATATGTGCGATAACCAGCTAAAGAATTCAAATACTTTGTAAAAGCATCGGGGTCGGATAGTGTCCACCAAGACTTCGTCAAACGCTAAGAGGTATATTTCGCTGTAGAAAGCTTGACCAGATACCCTCTATAAGTCTGACCACATGTGCAGAAGGCGACACATAGACATAGCGTCCTGTGAGTCATAAAGCTTATATAGTAGTGAAACAGTTCATCAGCATATCACGGAATCGATGTCCATAATGTGCTGCCCACACCTCATCACCACGGGCAAGGCCCACAGTTGGTCCGCCCCTCCGCCTCCATCCGACCCTTGGCAGTCTCCAGGGCTACTGTCTCTCACGCCAATATAAACTTTTCCTTTCCGAGCTGAGCAGTATTGTTAAAAAAGGCCCACACGTATTATGATAAAACAGCATATGGTTATTATAATGTTCACTTACAGTTTCGAGAAAATGCTCGAGTGTTTCTGTAGATTTGTGATTGTTGCGTAAGTTGGTTGAAACCTCGGTGTGGCTAGATTTAGGCGGTACACATTCTAACATGCTATTTGGCTGGGCATTCATGCGTGCTCATTTCTGTTGTCGCGTGGTATCCCTTGAATACTAATTGAACATTCCATAACCGTACCAGCATGTTTTATTATCACTTCTATATTTTTCCTCACATTTACATCAATTCGTTATCAACTCCATTTAAATAGCATGTTTGAAATGTTCCCTTGTGTCAAAAGAACATTTAAATAATACTATTATTAGCATCAAACACATTCTTCACGCACGTGCATATGTATTGTCACATACTGTTGCCGCATGGTCGCGCCTTCCCACGTTTTGTGGTGATAAAGCACAACGGGACACGCCAAGTTTAAGGTATGTCAAAAGTTTTAATTAAAAGGGACACAGACCACAGGTAAAGTCTTTTCACCTGTAACAGGTGTATGAGAGAGATCATTGTACCTGCCCAGGTGCCAATGTACGAAGGGAGGGGGTACTCTAAGTAACCTCGCGACACCTATACCGGGCTTGATGACGTATGAACAGAAAATGCTTCGAGTGCTTGTTATCATCTAAAACACCAAACTTTGGTTTCTAACGAAAGTTTCAATTCTGTTTTTCTATCGATGTGTTAGCACAGTGTCCTGGGTCGTCCCTTCTACATCGGGAGTAAACATAGCTATAACGGGCCTATAGAACGCTATGTTAATTACTTAAACTATGCTGCTTAGCACACAGTCATATTCTATTCTGAATAAATATTGAAGTTTGATTAAACACAGACTTTTTCATTCTACAATGCTTCTCTTAAAGAACGTGTGGTTTGAAAACTGGGCGTTGAAGTTTTAAAAGTGAAATTCATCTGACTTGTAATTGGTCACGGCCATGTCTATAAATAGTAAATACTTGTGCATTTCTTTGAATAACATAAAATTCCAAAACATATGTTACGACAACACATCTTTAACAGTGTAAAGGAATTTCTCAATTCCCCAAAGCATATCATTTCACACTGTATATACGGGCTACGTAGCGTAAAGAATGTCACGAAGGAAATTCTTCTTACAGTAACAAATAAGATAAAGATAAAATTCAATCTTATGCGGTTTACCTAGATTTCCCTTTATGGTTTACACGTACGATTATATTTACCTGTAATATTTACCTGTAATACATATTTACCTGTAAGACCTATATACCTGTAAGATTTACATGTTAGGAGGCACTACCGAGCCGACTGTGGATTACAGGGGTCGGTATAATACCTACACAGATCACATACTTGCTTTCGAGTTGGTTTCTCAATAACACGTGCGAACCAGACAATGTACCCCTTGAAATGATGGCCACTTTATCAGTTATATTTGTCAATTATCCCTCAATTTGTGTCCAATAATACGTCGGCGATAAGAGAGAAGTACCGATATAGGCCTCTGACATGATGATGTAGAAAATGTAATCCAATGGTATCCTCTCCCGACAAACAATGCTGCAGTAATTTCTGGAGGACGGAGTGTTTGTTTACGGCGGTGATTCATTAGTTGCCGGATTGTGTGTCGGACGCAGTCCCAGGTTTGGACAGTCCATCATTGCTTGGTGAGTAATACACACACAAATCAATGGTGGGTATGTCCGGGCAGTGATGGGAATGACCACGCGCCGGCCGGACAAATGGAGGGTCAACCGTTCATCGGGGGTCACGGCATCAGATGTATCAATAGCAGAGTGCCCAATGTCCACTCTACCGAGCGTCTATTGAACTGATGGAAGTCTTGTAAATTTTAATAGAATGAATCCCGCTGTATGTACAAAACCCGGGAGGGTGTTAGGTAAGAAACGATCATGCAACATCAATGTCCAAACCTCAGCAATAAACCGATTAGATAGCCGATACCCATCTATACCGAACCATTCTGTAAATATTTCCAAGATGAACCATCCTTGTCTATACCTCTTTGACAACAGTAGGATTCCTGATCTTGTTTAAAGAATTCTGGTCATGTTTACATCTTAAACCTACACGCATGTAAATCTATATTAGAACTAATGCTTATTCTTTGTCCACTGATTAAATGTCGTTTCCAATCGAATGTTAAAATATTTCAGTTATAAATGACAATCTTGATATCTAAACAAGCACCTTCCTACTAAACACTTAACAAAAACTACCGAGTTTAATATATCCGTCCAATTCAAAATCCACAGACTTGGTAATTTACAAAAACCGATATCGCTTATTTAAACAAAAAATAGATAAATGAATAAAAACAAACAAAACCAATGTTAAAAGTATATCTGAACGTCCTTTGCCCCAAAATTAATTATCCATCCTGAAAAATACTTCAACCATCGGCATTTTTCTTCAACAATTAAAACAAAATATATTTAATGAAACATTACAAAACGACACCAGCCATCCATCCACAAAATCTTTAAGTTCATCTTAACAAATATACATCCATAAAAAATTACATATTATGTAAGTAACGATTCACAGATTTAATATACGTATCTAAATATTCAATCACTGTTTAAATAAAACGGAATTATGATATAATGGAACTTTGGAAAGGATTATTCAAAACCTGATAAAGAAAGAAAGCTCTGTGAAGATTCCTAAATCCCTCTTTTTTGTTTTCGTTTAATAAATTCAAGCACGGCTCTACCAATAAATTTCTTGAGGCTAAATTAGAGACCAACACACAGCAACCAGACATATCATAGACACGAGGGCAAAACGTTTGGCCTAGGCTGGAGAAGGGAAAACATTCATGAACAATTTTCAAGTATAAAAAAAGATAGAAATATTTAGCGGTTACCTAACTAGTGTATTGTAATGGAAAATAAGAAAAGCTCACCATCACACATCAACAATTACACAACAGCTGATGGGTAACCATATACATACTTTAATTATGAAGATGTACAAAAGCTTGTTTACCTGTCGTTAACAAAGATCAACATTGCATACGGTAGGTCCCTGATGTCACATAGTATAGGTTGATATCGATTGTAACTCCGGGTAACTCGAGGTAACACATGTACAGAACCACAAGGGTCCCAACACTGATAATCCTAGTAAAAATTCCACAATCTTTTTCCAATAAGTATCCTGTAACTGGAGGTATTTGTTTAAAGACTAGTAAAACACTACACACACGTCTGTGTCCCTTACGAGGGTAAAACAATGAGCAGCTGCGGGACGAAGTGCAGCATATAGACTTTCGTAAGTATTACGAATGATGGCACGTTTAGGATGCGGAAGTCACAATGCCGCATCGAACTTTAACCACACACGTGTCCACTTTACTCCATACTGGTTGTATGTATCGTAGTGGACTTATCAGTTTTTGTTTAAAATCCATTGGAATAAATGTTTAGCCTTAGAGCGTTGGTGAGTACGTCGTGTCACAAGCTCGCTATGATACTAAGTATGATCGTCTCGCTAGGTGCGCACAGGTATGTCTCTGTCAGCCCCTTCTTTACTGGGTCGTACCACTATCCCGTCTTCTACTTTCGTTATTCACCACTACATCGCTGTGGCCTACCATATCTGTATTACCCTTTCTGACTTCGTTGTGGTAATCTTAGACTAAAACGACTAGAGTAGTTGTGAATTTTTAAATCTAAAATCCAACATTTACCAAACCAGTGGCGACGTACATGTCATGAACCATGAAATGATTAAATAGGCCCGGCAATATCGGTTTTACTACCTAGACATCCGATATAATTAATTACAACTAATTGATGAATTATGTTAAGATTAAAGTAGAGCAGACCTTCTATAAATGTAGTAAGTGTATGATCTGTCATCAGACCCCAGACTAATTG